TGGCTTGACTTATTTACAAAAAATAAAAGCTTGGTTTAGCCTATTTAAAAAAATAAGACAGTAAAAATTTATTCAAACAGAATATACAATCAACAATAATAGTTATATAAATATTTATAAATTCAATGTATATCCAAACAGCATAATATAGAAAAAAATTATTCAAAAAGTCTGTTTAACCAATAAAATAGGGTGAAATGGATTGAGGAGAGAGAGAGCTATTACAAGTAGTATAAAAATATTAAATAAAAAATAATATACTAGGCCAGCTTGAGAGGCTCTAAGGCCGAACTTTTGAATTGGGGTCTGAAGTCTTTTTATTAAACTAGCTTTTATACAAGTCCAAGCCTGATTTTAATAATCAATTTTACGAGTCGAGCCAAAGACCACTGAAACTAAAAGGCCCTTAATTTATTGAGTGAGGATATTCTAACTACCAAAAACTCTCACTACTAACTTACTACCCATCACATTACCATTGGATCAAAGAGAGAGAATGTTAAAAAGTTTTTGAAGAGAGAGAAAATGTTAATCTAATGATGATTAGATAGGTAGTAAGTTGGTAGTGGAAAATTTTAATAGGTAGAATATCCCTCCTCTAATTTATTTACCACCCTATGTGGATAGTTCATAACATTAGATCATGTCTTATTTAATTGCATTTTCGATACTTGGATTCTTAGAATGGAGTTGCATTTAAATTTTTTTTCTTTCGTGATAGGGGTCAAAGGCCTTGCCAGGGATTAGTGATTGATTTTTTTATGCAAATTTTCATTTAAAATTCATCTAGAATTTTATTTTATTTTTTAATAGAACATCTGGAATTTTTTTTATCTCATTGGGATGCTAAACTAAACTATAGTCGAAGTAAGTACCGAAGAGAAGCCGTTAAGGGGCGTTTGGTTAAGAAGAAATTTTTTAAATGCTAGGGAAATATAATTGATAAGGAAATGGTTGGAAAGTGAATTTGGTAGAAAAATGTAAAAAAAACTGTTTGGTTGGAAAAAAAATTAACCGGGAAAATTAGGTAAGATTTATAAAATCTATGTTTGGTTTGAGGTAAAATATAGATGTGAAATAAGTGGCAATTACAAAAATATCCTTATTTTTAAAATAACTGTAAATTACGAAAGTCTCTCATGGTCCTGAAAACAATTTTTCATTTTATGTAAAACAAAAGAACTCTGTTCAATTACGAAAATGTCACAATTAGTTTTCTAATACAAAATGGAGGGTCACTTTGGTCACAATTTTCACTCTCAGTTTTCTACTTCCCTAATTTTCCATAAACACCACATCTCAAGAGGTATTCTTAAACAGTGAATTTGAGCACAAAATCAACTGAAATATGGTTTTCTATGCAAACTTCTTTCCTAGACTTTTTTTTTTCATAAACTTGTACCAAACATGGCATTTTGAGATATCTACCCACACTTCCCCATCTATCTCAAAAGAAAACCTCAACCAAACACACTATCAGTATTCTATTATTAGAGCCCGTTTCTTTGCACTTTTCAAAAAAAAAAAAATGTATCTCTTTCTTATTTTAGAAGCGTTTTTTATAAAAGTTAAAATTATTTATATTTTTTAAAAAATATTTAGTTTTTGAAAAAAATATTTGGCTATTGACTTCTGCTTTTTTTAGAAGTTAAAATTTTTAGTTTCTGAAAAAAATAAAATTTTGACTTTTTTTGTGATTTTGACTTTTTTTTAAAAGCAGATATCTAAACGAACTAAAAATGAAAAGTACTTCTTTTTTTTTTAAAAAAAAACAACTTTTGAAAAAAAAAAAGTCCATCCAAACATGGCCTTGGTGCCTTTGGCCATATTTTCATGCAGCCAGACTCGTCTTTATAGCATGTCAAACGTGATTTTATGACTCGAAATTATATTTGGTAAAATGTTCAATGTCTTCACTATGATTTTGCCTCCAAATTTGGGCTAAGTAGGAAGCAAGCTTTTTTTTTTTATAGATAATTTTTTGTTTGCTTTCCTCTGACAACTTTTTAACAATTTTGAACTTTTAACATATTTCTGATAAAATAGTATAATTTATACCCTTCGCGTAATTACTCATCCAAAAGTGATTTTGACTAATTATAATAACAATATGCATTCCATCAAAAATTACTTTTCACAATTAGGTATCCAGAACAAAAATTACTCCACTTTAATTTTATTTTTAATTAAAATTATTTTTAAATTTTAAATCTATATATACTCATAAGCACACACATACTTCACGAAGAAATGCCCAAAGCCTTGGTTCCTTTGTTTACTACTGATCATATACGATAAGTTTTCTAATGTTCTTAAGTTTTTTTTTTTTTTGGGTTGTAATCAACCGCGGACCTTGGATTTTTTTATGATTGGGGGCGAAAATAAAATATTAAAGTTAGATGTGTTGTTAAAATTAACGGGAGAAATTAACTCTTATAAATATTTTTGAGTGAGGGAATGGCTATTACATGCATGTATATATACTTATGACCAGCACCTCAAGTATTGGATTAGGAGACTTTCTTTACAGTTTTCGTCTCCACAGTTTCAAATTTTAGTTACACATGCTCCAAACCCTCCGTATAAAATGAAAATGGAAAAAGTAAAATAAAATTGGCTACAAAACTTATAGGCAAACAATAATGATGCATGAGGTTATTTAGAAGCATCGATCATTTTGATATATATATATATATATATATATATATATACCTGCTAAAGTATCAAGTAGTGTAGACTTGCCACAACCAGAAGGACCCATTATGGCCAAGAGCTGCCCTGGCTTGGCATAACCAGTTAGACCCTCAAGAATTGTTTTGCTTCCATTCTTTCCCTTCGAAGTAGTCACCCATAGATCCTTCCATGTCAGAAAGATACCCACCTCTTCTGTCTTAGCTTCTCCTCCATTCTTTTTTGGAGCTCTAATAGCTTCCATTTCAAGTGTGGTGATCTCAATGTCTAGGACATTTTGCTGGGGTACTGATTTGGAGATGTGTTTAGTTTCATAATCAATAGGAGCAGATTGAAGACATGAATTAGAGGAAGCCATTAGTAGCTATAGGAGTCCTTATGAGAGGTGAGGGGGAAAGAAGTGTTGTAGAATGGCTCACTGAATTTGTCGTAAATGAAGTCAATTATATAGATTTTTTTTTTGGAAAGTAAAATCAATTATATAGATTTAATTATGGGTTAGATATTTCTTATGTGGTAAGAGATAAAATTATCACCAACATATCCAGAAAAATATGTGGGGTCATGTGAAATGAAGAGATAAAAAAAATACCGGCCCCACATATTTTTATGTCAGTATAAGATAGAATTATCTCCTACCAATATATGTAGCAATTAAGCATGTGTTTGTGGTCACCGGCGAACCGAAAAAAATTTATTTACGTCCACACATTTAATAACATTTAATAACGGGGTTCGGGGGCAGAGCCTAGGGGTGTTAAATGAACCAGGGGCCTTTGGCTCGGCTCATGAAGGCCTGAGCTTACATGTCTAAAATTTGTTGTTAGCACCAGGCTTGAACTTGTATAAAAGCTCGTTTAATAAAAAGGCCTCAGACTCCAATTCAAAAGCTCGGCCTTAGAGCCTCTCAGGCTGGCCTAGTATATTATTATTATTTTTTATACTACTTATAATAGCTTTCTCTTTTTCCTCAATCCATTTCACCTCGACTTTTTGAATGATTTTGTTCTATATTATGCTGTTTGGATATACATTGGATTTATGAATATTTTTGAAATTACTAGTGTTGTTGATTGTATATTAGGGTTGAATAAAATTTTGCTATTTTATTTTTTTTAAACACGCTAAATCAGACTTTTAATTTTTGTAAATAAGCTAAGCCACAGACCGATAATTATATTTATAACAGGTAATATGCTTGGTTAGGCTGACACATTTAAACACAGACTTAGCCTTTTATGACCAAAACTCGACTTGGCTCGGCCAGTTAACACCCCTAGTCTAGAGCCCCGGAATTTTTTTTTTTTTATAAAAATTTTAAATACATTAAGAATTAAAAGAATATAAAAAAAAAACTTCAACTTAATATAAAAAGATAGTAATCAAAAAAGGGGAAGGATCCGTTTACAAACTTTTTTTACAAATTTTTGCAAATTATACTATGTACTTCCGGGAGAACATAGTGTAATTTGTAAGTGTTTGTAAATAAAAAGTTTGTAAATATAACCATCTCCAATCAAAAAATAAAATAACTAATCTATTACAATATAGAGAAGGCCACCACCACATACATAACCTTAGAATATCTTTGAAATTCGTTTTGAAAATAAATGGCGAGACTTTTTTTTTTTTTTGTAACAAATAAACACCATAAAATTAATCACACGAAACAACAGAAAGTGCTACCCGTAGGTCATTAGATGTTCCACATATATACATTCTGTAAGTTTCAATTTCTTGTTGAGAAACACTACCACTACGAACTGCGTAGTGATTACCATCCACTCTGTCACGCAGCGAAAAAATAATCTTTTGGTTGACGCAATAGTTACGGAAGGGGTGCTTCTTGCTTATCTTGATTTGAAGCGAGGGACATCATGCACGAAACACACTCACACACCATAGTCTCAAGGCCCCACCCACCAGCATCATCAATAACATGTTAGGAAATTATAATTTTCTAATAATTATTGTGGATCACATATTATATTAATAATTATATTGTGCTATTTATATATATTGAGTAAATTAAAGTGATCAGTTAAATATTCTTAAATAAATTCTTAAGTGAGTATGGGTTGAATGAGTGAATACCGGTGTTGGGCTAACTAGGTATAATGGGAGCTTATTGGCCCAACAATAAAGATAAAAACACTATAAGGGTTATGGTCCCCAATATGTCAAATTAACAACCTAGTTTCTCTTCCCGATCAAGAGAGAGACGAAACACTAAGGAATATGGTTTTAGGGTGATTTGACTGAGGAAGACTACAAACCCCAAGAGACAAGATAAAAGCTATTTCGCTACAATGGAGACAGGTATGCCTCCACCTTTATGTTCTTATTTTTTTATGATTTGGTATGATGGAGTTTGGCTTGTACGTGATAGTTATCACCAAAAGGTTTTGAAAAATTAAAAATTTCAACAATTGATATCAGAGCCAAAATCATATTGAATCATGAGAAAATTTAGTTTTGGTTTGATCCTTATATATGACTTTAAATAGAGATACCAGGTATATATAATTATAAGATCCAATCAATTGCGATCAATTTTTTAAATCTGAGTTGTTGTGTAAACCGTGGTTGTTCTGTCTTTTCTTATATATCATGTAGTATATATATTGTATACAATTGAAATCAACCCACGGCAATTCTCGTGAATTAGAAATCAATTTTCGATTGTCGTGCCAAGTCTACAATTGATTTGTCGTGAATAATTTTGTAATCGTAATACTTTAGTCTCGATTTTCGTGCTTTGCATTGTTTCACTGTTTATTACAAATTGCTATCTCGATTGGTAAATTTGTTGCACTGATTATATTTATTGGCAACGAATTGTTTTGAATATTATATATATTTGCTTAAAAATTGTCGTCTTGTTTTACATGTATTGGTCATGGCATATATGTAATTGTATAATTGTTGCATTGTGTATGTATATGTTTCGATTTGAATTGTTGGATTTGAATTGTCAAATAACCTATATATGATATTTATTCAGTATACAATTTAAGCAGATTTTTATTTTATTTCGTGAATATATGCTGTTCAGATTTTATTACAAGTTAATTGTAAGTCAAAATTCACAACAATTTAATTGTTTGATCCTTGGAATATTTGTGAATTGTTGATGTATTTTTTGCACTTTTTTTCGGTGCATTATGTATTTTTATGGAATTATTTTATTTTTAAATGGGTTTACTATCCCTAAAAGTTTCTATTTGAAATTAAATATGATAGGTTTGTTAGCCGCCACGGTGGTCAAATTTATAAAGGTTAATTTGATTTCAAATAGGTTGGTCATATAAATATATTTTATTTATGCAAATAATAATCGGCCCACAGGAAGGTTATTGTTTGGCCAAATAACATATGTTGTATGATCATGTGTGTGTTTATTGCTTATGCGGATAGTGATCGGCCCACAGGAAGGTTATTATTTGGCCAAGTAACAAACATACCTATGGTAATAAATATGTGACAATTATCAAGAATTCTCCATGTAATTCATAGTCGGCTCACAGGAAGGCTATGATTTGACAAGACTTATTGTCAATGTTTGATTACTACATTGAGAGTACCACTTACAAGTTGATATTCTTGTCCTCAGACTAAATATTAATGTTGTGCTAGGTATCTTATAATAAACTCATTTTACTTCGGATTATTTGTATGTTATCTTTTTTGTTCTCTGTATAGTTTCTTCTACCGCTGCCAATTATGTTGCTCAAATGAATATGCTTCCAATGCTTAATGGGGAAGATTTCAAGCTGTGGAAAGAGAATGTGGAAATTGTTCTCGGCTGCATGGATCTCGACAATGCGCTAAGGACTGAGAAACCCACTTCCACTCGGGAAAATCCAAACACGGATAAAATTGAGAAGTGGGAACGCTCAAATCGCATGTGTCTGATGATCATGAAACGTTGCGTTCCGGAGGCGTTTAGGGGCTCGATTGTTGAGACTACTGATGTCAAGTTGTTTCTGAAGGAACTCGAGCAATACTTTGCTCGAAATGAAAAGGCTGAAATTGGACAAACCTTGTCCAAACTCATAAACATGAGGTATAAAGGAAAGGGAAACATAAGGGAGTACATTATGGAAATGTCTAATCTTGCTGGAAAACTAAAGGCATTAAAGTTAGAGCTGCCCTCTGAGTTGCTCATATACTTAGTTATTATCTCTCTTCCTACACAATACGGTCAATTTGTGGTGAGTTATAACACTCAAAAGGAAAAATGGACTCTTAATGAGCTCATTTCTCACTGCGTGCAAGAGGAAGAGAGGTTACAGCGAGAGAAGACTGATAGTGCTCACTTGGCATCAACCTCTCAAGACAAGAAAAGAAAGAGAGCTAAGGATAATGCAGATGCTTTGCCAAAGAAGCAAAAGAAGCAGGACCAGGAATTCACCTGTTTCTTTTGTAAGAAATTTGGACACATGAAGAAAGAGTGTTCCAAATACAAGGCATGGCGCGAAAATAAGGGTATGACTCTCACTTTAGTTTGTTGGTGCTGGTTCTGTGGCACAAGCGTTTAGGTCATATCTCTAAACAGAGAACTCATAGGCTTGTGACTGATGGAATTCTTGAACCCCTTGATCTGGATGATTTTGAGGTGTGCATTGAATGCATAAAGGGGAAACAGACAAACATAAGGAAAATAGGTTCCAACAGAGCTCCAGACGTCTTAGAATTGATTCATACGGATATTTGTGGAACATTTCCTATAGCCTCTTGGAATGGTCAACAATACTTTATCACATTCATAGACGACTATTCAAGATTTGGATACCTATATTTGATTAGAGAGAAGTCACAATCATTGGATGTGTTCAAAGAATTTAAAGCTGAAGTTGAACTTCAGTTAGGCAAGAAAATTAAGGCCATTAGATGTGATCGTGGTGGTGAATACTATGGTAGATCTGATGGATCAGGTGAACAACGTCCAGGGCCCTTTGCGATCTTCCTAAAGGAGTGTGGAATCGTCCCGCAATACACAATTCCCTGTAAACCTAGCATGAATGGTGTTGTGGAAAGGCGAAATCGGACTCTTAAAGACATGGTGAGAAGTATGCTTAGTCATTCTTCATTGCCAGAATCACTTTGGGGATAAGCACTAAAGACTGCAGTTTATATCCTTAATAGGGTTCCCAGCAAAGCAGTGACAAAAACTCCTTATGAGCTATGGAATGGAAAGAAACCTAGCATAAGGCATTTACACATTTGGGGTTGTCCAGCAGAAGCGAGGCCTTATAGGCCAAATGAAAGAAAGTTGGACTCAAGAACAATCACCTGCTATTTTGTTGGATATGTTGAACGCTCTCAGAGCTTTAAGTTTTATAATCCCACTACAAGATCCTTTTTTTGAGACGGGAAATGCCAGATTCCTTGAGGATGTTGAGTTTGGAGGGAAGATAAAATAAGGAATGTTGTCTTTGATGAGGAAGAAAATTATATTTCTCTTCCTAATATTGTCATCATTCAAGATGCAATTACGGAACAAGCAATTAATGATCAGGTCCCTGTTCATAACATTGTTATGGAATAGGCTTTGGTCCCTGACATTGCTTTGGGTCAAGACAATAATGAACCACCCCCTATGACACATATAGAACAAACTCAACAAACTCAAGAAGTGCCATTAAGGAGATCCACTAGAGAAAGGAGAAATGCAATTCCGGATGATCATATTGTGTTTCTTCAAGAGCATGAAAATATTTTAAGCTTGAAGGAAGATGATCCAATCAACTTCCAACAAGTCTTAGAAAGCTCTAATGCTCATAAATGGATTGATGCCATGAAAGTTGAGATGCAATCTATGAAAGACAACGACGTTTGGGATCTTATTGAGTTGCCTAAAGGTGCAAAACCCATTGGTTGTAAATGGATATTTAAAACCAAAAGGAATTCAAATGGCAACATCGAAAGATATAAGGCACATCTAGTTGCTAGAGGTTTCACTCAGAAAGAAGGCATAGACTATAAAGAGACTTTCTCTCCGGTTTCTACGAAGGACTCTTTTAGGACAATAATGGCGCTTGTGGCTCATTTGGATTTGGAGCTACATCAGATGGACGTAAAGACAACATTTCTCAATGGTAACATTGACGAGACAATTTATATGATGCAACCAGAAAACTTTGTATTGGGAGATTCAAAGTCTATGGTTTGCAAATTAAAAAAGTCCATCTATGACCTTAAGCAAGCTTCTCGTCAATGGTACCACAAATTCCATCAGGTTATTATCTCCTATGGCTTTGAGGTGAATTTAGTGGAAGATTGTGTGTATCACAAGTTTAGTGGGAGTAAATTCATATTCCTAATATTATATGTTGATGATATCTTACTTGCCAGTAGCGATATAGGCTTATTGCATGAAACCAAGAAACTTCTCACTAAAAATTTTGAGATGAAGGACCTTGGTGATGCATCTTTTGTCTTAGGAATACAGATACTTCGAGATCGCGCTCAAGGTATCCTACGGTTATCACAAAAGGCCTACATTGAAAAGATTTTGGATAGATTTGGCATGAAGGATTGTTCGTCAGGAGATACGCCTATATCTAGGGGAGACAAGTTTAGTCTCGCCCAATGCCCTTAAGGTAAGCTTGAGATGATAGAAATGACAAAGGTACCTTATGCTTCGGCAATAGTAAGCCTTATGTATGCCCAGGTTTGTACTCGCCCTGATATAGCATTTATAGTGGGAGTGTTAGGAAGATACTTGAGAAATCCAGGAATGGATCATTAGAAAGCAGCCAAGAGGGTTATGCGGTATTTAAAGAGAACAAAAGATTATATGCTTACATATCGGAGGTCAGATGAATCAGAGATCGTCAGATATACTGACTCTGATTTTGCTGGATGCCAAGATAGTAAAAGATCCACGTCAGGTTATGTCTACATGTTGGTTGGAGGAGCTATTTCTTGGAAGAGTGTTAAACAGACACTCGTAGCTTCCTCTACTATGGCCGTTGAATTTGTAGCTTGTTTTGAGGCATCCAACCATTGTGTATGGCTGTGAAACTTTGTCACAAGGCTGCATATAGTAAGTGGTGTTGAAAGGCCACTGAAGATTTATTGTGACAACAGGTCAGCAGTGTTGTACTCCAATAACAACAGAAGCTCTTCAAAATCGAAGCACATCGATATAAAGTTTCTGGTTGTTAAAGAAAGAGTTCAGAGTGATCAGATTTCCATAGAACACATATGGACGAACTCCATGCTTGCGGATCTGCTTACTAAAGGCTTAGTGCCTAAGGTCTTTCACGAGCATACTGCTCATATGGGTGTTGTTTTGTTCGATGACACTTCGGTTTAGTGGGAGTTCTTTATGTTGGTGTTCTATGTAAATAAATAAATGAAATATTCTTATGTTTGTTTTCTGCAAAATAAAGAATTCAATGATATTTTCCCTCTGAATGTATTATATTGTGTGCTTGTGTTTCTGCTTTGTGTATGCAGAAAATTTAGGATTGATCTCATAAAGATTAAAGTAGGACCAGTTGGAAATAGGCATGGTAAGATCACATTGCATGTAATTTCCATGCCACTCATCCATACTTGATCTATATCATTGAATATATTGGTGCGATGACCATGGAAGGTTTAGTTACGCTTGAAAGTGACAAAAGCCGCCATGATCTCATATTGATATAGGAGGTGGACCAGATTGTATCAAGGAGGAATCTAAAGAAAAATAGCATACAATTGCGCACTAAAGATATACGATATAATTATCTCAAGTTAATATATGGCCCAAGTGGGAGATTGTTAGGAAATTATAATTTTCTAATAATTATTGTGGGTCGCATATTATATTAATAATTATATTGTGCTATTTATATATATTGAGTAAATTAAAGTGATCAGTTAAATATTCTCAAATAGATTCTTAAGTGAGTATGAGTTGAATGAGTGGATACCGGTGTTGGGCCAACTAGGTATAATGGGAGCTTATTGGCCCAACAATAAAGATAAAAACACTATAAGGGTTATGGTCCCCAATATGTCAAATTAACAACCCTAGTTTCTCTTCCCGAACAAGAGAGAGACAGAACACTAAGGAATACGGTTTTAGGGTAATTTGACTGAGGAAGACTACAAACCCCAAGAGACAAGATAAAAGTTATTCCGCTGCAATGGAGACATGTATGCCTCCACCTTTATGTTCTTAATTTTTTATGATTTGGTATGATGGAGCTTGGCTTGTAGGTGATAGTTATCACCAAAAAGTTTAGAGGAATTAAAAACAATCACCGTCGTCCCTCTTACCTCATCATCATCAACCCAAATGTCTCTCTGCTTTGTCTTGGTGTCCACCACTCCATCCTGATTATTTTGCTTCTTTGGCCTTCTGCTTTGCATCTAAGCCATCACTTCAAGCACCAAAATCAACCATCAAATTTTTTCTTTTCTTTTTTTTAAAAAAAAATTTATGTCGCAAGTGCAGACAATTGTGCATGAGTAGATCCGCCAATAGTTCAATGTATCTTGTATGAAATAAAATTATCTCTTATACATACATAAGAATATACGTGATTCGTATTTCTCTTGGTTTTTTTTTTTTTTTTTTCATATGAGCCCATATAGATCTCATACACTTATATATATAAGATAAAATCATCTCCTAGAACATAACATAAGAAACGTCACACCTTTAATATTGTTGCCAATGGGAAAATGAATGTTTGTGGTACGAAGACTTTGCTGGGCTCCCGTAGAAGTAGTGATGGGAAAAAATCGAAAACAAGCAATGCGTTTTTTAAGAAAATCGTGGAAAGGTGTTAGTTGAAAAATGATTATCTTTAAATTATTTTTGTAAAATATTAATAAATTTTAAAAATATTTATTTTATCTCTAAAATATAAAGTAGAAACAAAAATCAAATAGAATATAATCAAAGACAATTAACAAAAGAAATTATTTTCCAAATATTTAATTTTTTCTGTCGGAAAAATTCCGAATGTGGAGCTTGTGAAGGAATATGATTTCTCCAACGTGGGACTTCAACAGGCCAAATTTACCTATTTATTTTATCTCTTTCTTTGCTTTAATGGTTCTTATTATCATTATTGTTAACAACTAAAAAAGATATGGACAAAAATAAGTGTTCAAATCTCCAATCGTATGAAATATTTTTTTTAATTGTTAAATATTTCATTGGTTCTTTTTTCTTTTTAAAAATTTTGTTTAATAAAAATTTAGAAATTATTAAATAACGTTCATTATCAGTGAAATAAGTTCGTTTGATGGATATACCATTCATTAAAATATTAAAAATATTTGTTACCAAAAAAAATATTAAAAATATTATTATGATTTTATTAACTTTCTCTCCCACTTATTATTACTAAGGATAAATTATAAAAACTAATAATTCATTAAATTTTAAAAAGACAAATAAAAATGAACAAAAACACCTTTTATAAATAGATAGATGAAAATATGGAGAAAGTGATTCTAATTTCTAACCACACATATGTCAAAAAATTATCTACCTATATGTGATTGAATTAATTTTGTGTCTCTTTCCTATACTATTTTCGTAATATAAAATATGGGTATAATGTCTTTTATGTTGTAAAAAATAAAATTATCTCCTATATCCACATAAAAGTATGTGGAATCCATGTCTTTTTTTTTTCTCTTTTCTCTTCTGACCCCCCTCATAGGTCCTACATATTTTTATGTGTAAGAGATAATTTTATCTCCTATAACATGAGAAACATCAAACCCGTAAAACATTATGTTTTATTTCCTTATTTGAAATTTACATACCTTATAAGATATACCTTATACATATCTTAAAAAACATAAAATTAAATCTGCAAGAAATTATAAAAAAGATTTTTCTTTTTTTACTATATTAGTATATGACAAAAACAAGTACGAGGTGTATAATATTTCAAGGGGAAGGATATTGTGACAACCAAGTTGTGTTACTACCAATCAATTTCACCGTTAGATCGATTATGTTGATCCAACGGTTATATTTATTTCCATCTTTGTATGGTCATGATTCCCCATATTTAAAGTGAAAGCATTAAATATGGGAAATCATAACCATATAAAGGTGAAAATAAATATAAAGTATTAAATTTGGAGAATCATGACCATACAAAGATGGAAATAAATATAACTGTTGGATCAATATAATCGATCTAACGATAAGATTGATTGGTAGTCACTTGGTAGTAACACAACTTGGTTGTCACAATATCCTTCCCCATATTTCAAAAACAAAAACAAAAAACAATTTACACACTCCGTACACCCAGACTAAGAAATATCACGATTTTCTACTTTGGCCATTCTTGAAAATGTTTCTAGTTTTGTGGCTTTTTTTTCTTTTTTCTTTTTTAATCTAGAGTAAAATCTAACCAGGATAATATCATTATTGTGCAAGAACTTATACACTCAATGCATAGGATGAAAGGGAAAAAGAGTTCCTTGTCCATTAAGACTGACCTTGAAAAAGCTTATGATAAGCTTAGCTGGAAGTTCATCAACTCTGTATTGGAGGACTTAAAGTTTCCGAAGGCTATGGTTAAGGCAATTATGGGATATGTAACTAGCCCTACATTAGATATCCTTTGGAATGGAGCTAGAACTGAAAAGTTCCAATCTCAGAGGGGTATTAGGCAAGGGGATCCACTTTCTCCCTACCTCTTTGTCCTATGTATGGAGAAGTTAACCCATTTGATCCTGGATGAGGTGACAGTGGGGAATTGGCATCCTATAAGGGCTGGTAGATCTGGACCTCCCATCTCCCACCTTATGTTTGCTGATGATATCATTTTATTTGCTGAAGCCTCCCTGAGCCAATTGAACTGTATAGTTAACTGCCTGGAGAAATTTTCCTTGATGTCAGGTCAGAATGTGAGTATAGAGAAGTCTTGCATCTACTTCTCTAGGAATGCTCCTCAGGAGGCTGTGAACTCGATCTCAGAGATTAGTGGATTCAAGAATGTGGATAGCTTAGGCTGCTATTTGGGAACTAGGATGAGACATGAGAGGATGAACAAAAATCATTATGCTGTTGTTATAGCCAGAGTTCAGGATAGGCTTCATGGATGGAAGTCTAAATGTCTTTCTTTGGCTGGTAGAATCACCTTAGCCAAGAGTGTAATCTCGGTTGTTCCTTGCTATCACATGCAAAATAATTCTATTCCTGTTCATGTTTGCCAGGAAATAGAGAAGCTTCAAAGAACTTTATTTGGGGGGATCTGGAATCAAAGAGGAAAGCTCATTATGTGGCCTGGGAGGTTATGTGTCAGCCTAAGGATCGTGGTGGACTGGGGATTATTAATCTGAGGGTCCAGAATGAAGCTTTTATGCATAAGCTAACATGGCAGATCACTAGGGACAAGGATAGCCTTTGGGCTAGAGTACTAATTTCAAAGTATGGCAGGAATCAGGACATTAACCGGAGCTGGATTGCAAAAGAGCAGGGCTCATCTCTGTGGAGGAATATTTGTTTGGCTAGACATAAGATGAATAATCAGCTTGAGTGGGTTTTAGGGAATGGAAGGACAGTTTATTTCTGGACAGATTTATGGGGAGGATGGCAAGGTCCTCTCCTTGAGCTGGCTCTAACTAAACCCCCCATGGCTGATCTTAGCCTCAAGGTGAGTGAGGTATTTGATTTTGATGCAGGGAGTTGGAAGTGGGATTACTTGGTAAACTTTCTGGATATCTCTGTTTGCAACCAGTTGAGAGTTAAGTCCCCTCCTGTTCCTGATAGTTCTGAAGACTGGCTCAATTGGAAAGTGGGGAAGCCAGGTAAGTCCATAGTCAGCAATGCTTATTGCAATCTGCTGGATCCTATTGGCACAAAGGATCGGATGTGGTCTATAATCTGAAAATGGAAGGGGCCTCTTCGAATTGCTGTTTTCCTTTGGCTGGCCTGTCTGAATAAGTTGCCAGTTAGAAGTTCTACATGTCACTGGAGTGGTGGTGAGGTTCTATGTCCAACATGCCTAAATGGCCAGGAAACCTTACTCCATACTTTGAGAGATTGCAAAGCTGCTAGAGAAGTTTGGGAATGCTGGTTTGCAGGCTCAATCCCTAGGAATTTTTTGTCTGCAGAAGGTACAGAATGGTCCAGGCTCAACTTGGTTAAGCCTTTTAAGTCCAACCTTTGGCACTCTTGGCTCGAAATCTTCTTTGTTACCTGCTGGTTCCTCTGGTTCTGGAGAAACTCAACAGTGCATGATATTACCTTTTCCAGGCCACATGAACCAGTACATACGATTCTGAGGTACCTAGCTGATATCAAGAATAGTAACAATGCTGACCCTTTTCCCCCTCTGTCTGATAGCTCCAATCACATTGGTTTATCTGATTTCACTGCCCAGTCCAGTGCTCAAGGTAATATCAGGATATTTGTGGATGAGGCTGTATATCAGGCATCCCACATTGGGGCTTGTGGTGGAGTAGCTTGCACCACAAAAGCAGAATGGATCCGAGGCTTTGCTTACAACATAGGGGTATGTTCACCTTTGGAGGCTGAGTTATGGGGGATCCTTCATGGTTTGAGACTTGCTAGGACCTGAAGATTCCTAGTGTTTGGCTAGGTTGTGACAGCAAGAAGGCTATTTGTTGTGCAGAGGACAATGCAAAGCATGTGGTTTCTCTGCTCTAATAGGTAGCATACAGGAAACAACTCAATATTTTGAGTGTGTTCAGCTGGAGTACATTCCTAGAGATTTCAATATTTGTGCTGATGGATTAGCCAAGGAAGGATTGATTCTTCAGGGTGGTGAGATGAAGATTTTTGAATTCCCCACTGATAGTTATGAGTCCTTTTGGTTTTCTTTTTGTACTAAACTGATGGTGGAACAGGTTTCTGCAAACATGCATCAGCTTTTTGTGTAGTGTTTC